TATTTATTTATTTATTTATTTATTTATTTATTTATTTATTTATTTATATTTTTTATGCTAATCACAAGTTATTAACTTTGTATCCCAGCCGTAGCCCCCTCCCTTATTCCCTCCCAATCCCACCCTCCCTTCCACATCTCCTCCCTGCCCCTCTCCAAGTTCACTGATAGGGGAGGACCTCCCCTTCCATCTGACCCTAGCTTATCAGGTCTCTTCAGGACTGGCTGCAATGTCCTCTTCTGTGGCCTAGCAAGGCCGTTCCTCCCTCGGGGGGGGGGGTGTGTGTCAAAGACCTAGGCATTGAGTTCATGTCAGAAATAGTCCCTGTTCCCCTTACTAGAGAACCCACTTGGATACTGAGCTACCATGGGCTATATCTGAGCAGGGGTTCTAGTTTATATCTAAATATGGTCCTTGGTTGGAGAAGCAGTCTCATGAAAGACCCCTGTGCCCTGATATATTTGGTCCTTGTGGAGCTCCTATCCTCTCCAGGTCTTAATAACTCCAGGTCTTACTAACTCTTTTTTTTCTTTTTTAAAAGATTTATTTATTTACTATTTTTATGCAGTATTCTGACTGCATGTACACGTGCTGGCCAGAAGAGGGCACCAAATCTCATCATAAATGGTTTGCGAGCCACTGTGTAGTTGCCGTGTAGTTGCTGGAAGTTGGACTCGGGACCTTTGGAAGAGCAGCCAATGCTCTTAACCTCTGAGCCATCTCTCCAGCCCCCTGTGACTTGCTTCTTATTTCTACCACCAAAAAACCAGCCTTCTCTATCATTAAGCATTAAAACCAACCACGCAGGAATTCACATTTGTATGAAAGAACCTAGATTCTTGCTTCATAAGCAGCCAGGATTATTTAGTTTTGTCCTTTTACTATGATCAGAGGCTATCATAATAAATCCTCCTTTTCTCTCTAGCTACTAAATACTAAAGTTCAAACTTAATGGGATCAATGAATTTCAAAATGGTTTTAAGTGTGCTAGAGAGAAGAGAACCATGTGGGCGTGAAGAGAAGACAGGCCATGGGACCAGGAGGGGAGGAAGACGTTTGACACACAACAGAATGTCCCCTTTCTCAAAAACCGACAACTAAAATTAAATTGTGCAAAGAGCTAAAGATATTTATCAGGTGCCCTACTCTAAACAGGACCAATAAAACCTGCAGGAAATTGATGCACCCTGCCCTGTTCTCTTTTAGGACTCCTCAGTTTAGTTTCTGTTTTAGCGTTTGCACAGTAATAATTTTACTACAAAGGGTAAATGTCTTGTAAACTAATGGGAAACATACTGTTTGGTACAGTTTATAATGTCAGGATTTATGGCTCTAACACTGAGGGTCTCTTTGACCTCGAAGATAACATAATGAAACAGCAATGTGCTGCAAATGACTCGTTGTGATTTTTTATTAGTTCCCATAATCGCCCTTATTAATTTGTATGCACATAATAAGCACTCACCTTCACAGTCTGTCCAGCTTCAGGACCATCCTAGAAGAAAAAAAGAGCAAAAAGAAAAAGAGTTGAGGTGAGAATTGACTGATGGTATTGCCTACTTATTCAGAAATATTGCTCATTAATAATTTAGATCCAATTTCATTGTGTGTTAATTTGTAGTAGTCTCCTGGGGACCATTCATTTCGAATGTGTGGGGCCAGACAGGTCTCCATTTCTTTGTGAGTGAGGAGTTATGTAAAAAATGATATGAATTATCCAGCAGGCCACTCCTTTCTACTTTCATGCTCTTTGCTTTCAGCTATGGTTTTAATCACATTAAAAATAAGACTGAAAATGTTTTGGGAGGCAAAGTACCACAGTTTGGTTATCTGTAAATCAGAAGTCATTTAATTAATATCTGATCAAGTTTCTCCCCAAGAAATCCACTAAGCAAGAAGATGAGGTGTCAGATGAGCATTGTCCTTTGAAGCTCCCCTGACCTTGAGGCAGAAAAGAAGTGATTTCTGTGGGTGGACCCTCATCCTTGTAACTATTCCTCCTCCCAGCTTCTCAAGGCCATATTGTCCACTGTCATTGTCACTTCTGAAAATGAGCACACAAGCCTAGGCTCCAGTGCAGTACAAGTGAAAGCTGCTACTCCAGAGAGAAGGCAGCAAACTTCTCTGCAACATCACATCTCAAAAGAGAATTGCCACACAGCGGTTTTGGTCAAATATCCCTAAATATGGGAAGAATTCATGCCCTGCTAGGGCAAGGGTTTAGCATATGTCTACCATGTGTGTCAAATCTTTTCAAACTTGAACCATAACACATTAGTGGTTTCTGAAATCAACCTTCTAGTTTCCAATCAATACTTGAGAAGAAAACATAACAGGACAGCAATTATTAGAATGTAGAGGATGCTTTAGGATTCCTTTGTGAAAGTACATGTGTAAGAGAGGGGAGGGGTACACAGGATTGTGACACACACACACTTTACTTTGAAGTACAGTTTTAAAGCAGTTACACAACACTATTATGCAAAATTGCTCTTATTCTAAACAGTCACCATCAGACTTCTGGAATTATGCTTTGACAATCAACACTGGTATCTCCCGACAGATGTCCTCATCCATTTTCTTTACCTTGTCTCCTTGGAAACAGTTTGCAACAGAGCTTTATACCCCAATTAATCCACCCCTTAGTTGAATTACTGTCTGAAGTTGAATCAAATTCTATTTCTAGAGATGCTAGCACACTCTCAATAAAGTCAAACTAGAATTTGTGTTTTGAGAAAGAGATGAACATTTTAGGTCAAAGACTTCAATACATTGGCATCTGTGCCTGGTCTTTGCGGGTCTATGGCAAAGAGCCCAGGAGAGAGCATAAGGATGGCGGGATGGTTAATAATTGATTGTAGAGTTGATTCAAATTGATGTGTTTTAGAACAAATCTCCAGACATCAGGAAGTTTCTAGATTAGACTAGTTGTGGAGGGAAGATCTATGCTAAAAATGGGTAGCAGCATTTCGTGGGCTAGAGTCTTGGATTAAATGAAAAGAAGAACGTAGAGTGAGCACCAATACTCTTCCTTCTGGTCTTCCAGACTGTGGATACGATGTGACCAGCTGCCTCCTATTCTTGCTCCTGTTTCCCTGATCTCAAACCCTGTGCCAAAATAAACATTTGCTTCTTTAGCTTGGGTCTCTCAGGGTTTTGTGTTACAGTGATGAGAGAGTAACTGTGCAGACAGTCAGCGTTCTGGTTATCTCGAAGAGCTGGGATTACTGGGGATGTAGTCCTCATATGTTGGAGCAACTGCTTTCCTACCAGACTTGAGGTGTGATGACCATGCTTCTTAGCACAAGGGCCCTTACACATACACTGCTAGCCTTAGCCCTATCCATAGGGATCTGAGGGGGTTCACGGTATGTTACTGACAACTTACTTAGCTCCCAACTGATGACACACACCATGGACATCCTTCTCTAAACCCGAAGAGTACTGGCCCAGGTTCTGCCTGCAGATCCCTAATGACTGACAACCTGTTTTCTTCATTTTGTAGTGGGCCATGGTCCATCAGTCCATTGTACCAAACTATGACCTACCACTGCTGTCTGTGCTATGTTTAGCGAAAGGGAAACCCTATAAGAAGATGGCTCAAATTAGCTGTCAGATCATTGCTCTCCTTGAAACCCTAGCAGGGAAGAGCTTGTGCATGTTCAGAACATACCACAGAGCAAAAAGACTTCCCTAGCACTTAGTTCTCAGGAAAAATCCCTGTGCTGGTTAGGCTTTGTCAAGCTAGAAACAAGTTGTTGGGGGGGGGGGGGCTCAGCTGAGGAATTGACACCATCAGATTTGCCTGTGGCCATGTGTCTGTGGGGACATTCCTCTAGTCTACTAACTGATGGGGGAGGCCTGGCCTCTGGTGAGCACTTCTAACCTGGGGCCAGGTGGTCATGGTTATTGAAAAAGGGTAACTGAATGTGTGCCTGAATGCAGCCAGTAAGAAGGGCTCCTGGTGGTCTCTGCTTGGCTTCCTGCCTCCAGGTTTGCTAGCATTTCAGCTCCTGCCCTAGCTTCCCTCAATAATGGGCTTTCATGTCGGAATGCAAGCCAAACAAACCTCTTCTACCTCCAAATTGCCTTTGGAGAAAGAAATTCTCTTCTCTTAGCAAATTTTCTTATTACTACAGAGAAGCAAACTAATTTAATCCCCTTAAATCTCTTGTCTATGACTCCCACCAGCTTTGGAAACAGCATAGCAGACATTTGCTGAGAAGCTGTTCCATAGTCCACCTTGGGGCCAATGGACATCAGAGCTGCCTTGGATTAGTACCATCTTTTCCTGTTGTTAGGTAAATGCAGACAACTAAAAGCACTTCTCTGCTAAGATGGCTAAATACAAAGCCCCACACTCAGCTTTGAGAAGGGGGGAAGAAAGAAACACTTGCGAACCATCTGTACACTCACCTGAATGGAGAAGGTGATGGAGGTCCCCTGGAAATGCTTCTCCACCACTGTCCCAACTCTCTGGGTCACCTGGAATAAATCAGCCACTTCCTCAGGACGGAGGTCACGGAAGCGCTCCACTGGCCTCAGCGGGCACACGAGGACGTCTGCAGTGAGGTATGTTAAGGACACTTTGGCTTGCTTTTGGGAAGTATTCTTAGAAGTTTATGCACACAGGCCCTGAATCCCTTTGACCCAGGGACTGAACTTTTGAAGACTAAGAAATGAAGAAAGAAATGTTTAGCAGCCAAGAGCTTTAAAAGATAGTTTACTTCAAGGGAGGTGCCTTGGCGCACAGGAGAATTTAAGGAAAGGCTTGGTAATGTGTGAAGTGATACCAGTACTTGCTGTGATAATTACAGCAGGAGGTGAGATCTCTTCTGGGCCATTATCACCTGACTGCGATTCTGAGGCTCATCTTCCCCAGCAGCTACAGGCATTGAGGTGGACAAGCAATTGGAATATCTAGGTGGTTTTGCTAGTTAGAGCATCGTGATTAAGTTTCCTTTTAGAGAAATGATAGAAGCATATAGAAAGTGTCTGAGTGTCTGATAGCAGGTGATTTTAGTTTTAAAAGGGCTGCAGACATTCAGAAAAGGTACAGTGAGCCTCACATGTGCCTACAGCTGTGCTGCACTAGCCAGATGTGCTACATGAGAGATCCTAGAACTGGCTACTCATAATCCAAGATGTCTCCAATTAAATCTTTAAAGAAAGGAGCTGTCTATCATACAAAAGAAACCACTGTAATACATTCTGAAGTTAGGGTGGCTCATTACATTTCCGGTCTGAGAAAATACCAAGATCTAGAGGAAAGGATTAATGTTTATCATTTACTGGTAGCAAATTTATAGTTATGATTACCTCAACATTTCATGTTCTTTTTGTGCTTGAACCTATGGTGTAGGCATGTTTACACACATATGTATGAATTACATAGATTTGCCACTATGTGGCCATATACATTTATGGTTCTTGCCTTGTGAAGGAGGTATATCAATAAATCCATTGCAAGCTAAAAACATCCTTTCACAAATTCATGTAACACAGCTCCTCTAAAGGGCATCATGGTTTAGTCTACCCTTACTTAAACATTAGCCTACAGATGGGCAAAATTATCTAACTTGCCAAGCTCATCCTCAAATAAACTGTTGAAAATCATATGTAATTGGTTGAAGACTGTAATGTAAGTGAAAAAACAGAGTGGCTAGCCTGGACTGCTTTCTGACTGTTGTACCTGAGAAATCATTGTTAATTCACTATACTGGGTGTGTATACATACAGCATGTATTATTTGTTCGGTTTCCAGATACTTGCTACAGAAAACAAAACTGTTATTTTTCTTTAAATTTATTCTCCACGCCCCTTTTTTGTTTCTTATTTTAAGAAAGCGTCCTTCTGCCTGGAGCCAAGCAGCAAAGGGATCTAATAAAACCACAATCCAGCAATTGCGAGTCTCACCAGAATACAAAGCATTTTAACTCATCACACTGTTGGACTCAAGGCCTCAGGGAAGTTCACAGAGCTCAGGTTGGCAGGCCTGGTTTTTATATGAGAAAGGGCCCTGAGAGAGGTAAACAGATGAATTTGGCCTATATGCAGGGAATTCACATCATCAGAAAATGAGGTAAAGGGATATCTGTTTGATCTGAGTTCATTTTTCAAGAGAAGTGAGGCCCCCACCCACAGGGCACCTGATCCTAATAAAGATAATTATCCTTCCCAGGGCTGCTTAGTTATCATGGGCCAATGAAACACTTAGAAATGAAGAATTTTCTTTCCTTTTCTTTAGCAGATTGCCAGTTTCTACTCCCACAGAGCTGTTTTCTCTTTGTTAAGAGGGACCTTCTCCCATTTTCTCCCTTCCTAGTCTTTCCAACATAATATTTTTATTGATTATTGGGAATTTCACACAATGCATCTCGATTACATTCACTTTCCATCACTCCCAGGTCCACTCTCCCACCCTTCTGCCCTCCATGCCAAAAACCAAACCAAACCAAACCAAAAAAAAAAAAAAAAAATCAATCAAGAAGCAAATGTTAGTGTGTATCTAGGTACAGGAATGTGCATGTATATTCCTGTAGCTAATGAGTCACCTTATTGGCATATAACACACACTAGTGTGTAACCTATAATAATATTAAATAAAATAAACTTTTAAAGGTGCTTATTTAGTGAGGGCTCCTGTGATCATTATCTTGGCTGGAAGAAAAGTCACTCCGTTGGGCTCTGAGGGAGCTCAGCGGTTTGTCTCTTGCCTAACATGCTTGAGGCCTATGAGTCCACCTTCAGCACTTAAACAGAATAAATGTAGTTCACATACTCACTTAAGGAACACTGAACAAGTTAAACATGTGCACGACTAAGCTCTGGGCGTAACACGGAAGCAGATAAACCCAGAAGACAGGACAGGGAGAGATGACCTCAGTGAAAACGGAAGCACAGAAAGGTTCCGAACAATAGAGAAGAACCCCCACTGCCAGAGAAACTTAAAGCATACTATACATCAGGAGTTCTAAGTGGCCATGAATCTTCTCTACATAATGAGATCATCCCATGGCTAGCTGCAAACAGAGCAGGTTCATAAAGGATTTAAAGTAAGATGACAGCCTATTCCTGTACAGGACCCACTTCCAACTCTTCTAAGTTTGATAGTTAATATGCTGAAGGCACAAAACAAAACAAAACAGCAAAAAACTAACAGGTATGGCAAAATTCCAGTAAATACTGGTCTATAGAGTGAGAAAGGAGGCCATCTTTGGCCCATTAGCTAAACTGTGTCAGCCACTGATTCAGACAGATGACATCTACAAGAAGTAAGCAAGCAAACTGAAAAGAGCTGGGAGCCTATTTTTGGTTTTCCAGGGCTGAAGGCACTAAAACTGTATTATAATAATCAAGTAGAAAAACCACTGTAATGTCTTTAAGCTTTCACTGTTCAAGAAAAATATCTGGACTAGGTTTCTGTTCGCAAGGGCCTTGGTTAACACTTCCAAATTAGCAAGAATTAATAATGATTAGTAGTTGTGCTATGGTACCATACAGGTAGATCATTGTCATTTCTTTCCAATACAACAGAGGAGTTTCTGGCCTAAAGTATGTGATTTGCCAGCATTTCCAGTTACAAATTCATCTACAAATGAAAGTCTTTTCTCAAAATCAGGCCATGATCCTTGAAAGAAAACACAATATTGCCTAATGATTCCGGGCATCATTTGCTACATGCTTTGCCCAGGATACAACACCAGGAAAGAAAATCAACACTGAAGAGCAACAGACAGCTCTTGAGATTTTGATGACACTCTGAGATTCCAATTATTTTAAGATAACTTTGCAGATGCAGCTTGGTATCACTTTTGAACCTTTACCATACATTGTCTTAAAATGGCATCCTTTTTCAGAGTCTGCTTGCTTGGGGTTGACAATCCATTATAGTTTCTTAGCCAACATGCATGTCACTCCCCACAAGCCCAAACTTAATTGCATTTAACATGTTTATCCAGTACACTGAAAAAATGGTGGTTTAGTAAGAGGGATGAGATCTGTGCTCTCCCTGTAACCTTGAGTAGAAAGATCCATTTACTAATAATATGTTTCAAGGAAGGCAGAATCACACCTCAGGTGAGCCTGGATCGCTTAGTTGGACAACATTCTTCACAGGCAAGGAAAACCAAAGCAAGACTTCTTAGGGCATGTGATATTGAAGTGGAACTTCACAAATCCCACTGGGGATTGAATGTCAACCACCAATTGTCCTGTACCCAGGACCTCCTCTCTGTCTAAGGCTTGGGCTAGGATTTTGGACATCAAGACAAATAGAAGAGAAAAGTGATTTTGAGGAGTCGTCAATGCAGCATTCCAAGCTATCATAGGGTGTAAGCAGATCACTGAGGCATAGACACAAATACCGTGCACAAACACAATGCATAAACACATGGGGGAGGCTGAACCTATCTCTCCGTGGAGTGATAAGTAAACATCTCCATTTCATCTTCTATGTCATCTTTCTAACAGCAGAAATGCTCCTCCAAAACCACAGGAAAGGCTTTCTTTGAAAACAAATGTAGTAATTTATGGATAACTTCAACATTCCTCCTGAAAGCAGAACCACTATCCGATTTCTTTATGTAGACTTATCTGCTTGAGCTTTCTAATGAACCCATAACGTGCTATAACTCCCCTTTCCAAATGACAACATTACGGCTTACAGAAAAGAAACTTGCCAACACAGTGTGACCAAAATAATATTAAAATAAGAATTGATCCCCAACTATGCCTCAGACCATGTCACTAAGGGTAGTGTTGAAATGGTATTCCCCTAGAGCTTCATGTCTTAGTTTGGACCTGACCTTTATTAAAGGTGTGACTTGTATCTCCAGAGTCCCTCTGCTTAAGGAAGAGAAAAAAATGATATAAGGGAAATCTTGTGTACAATTGCTCAGGCTTGAGGCACATTTAACCTGAGAGGAAGAAAACAGTTGACGTGGTTAATTCCACAATTAAATGAATGCAAAGAAGCCTGAGTTCTTGGTAGCGTCACTCTGTACTAACACATACTATAAGAATGTGAGGGCCATCTTGCACCAGCTGTTGAGCTGAAGGACATAAGAAAGGATAAGACAAATTTTGGCCTGTTTCCTTTTTTGACTTTGGGTTTTTCCAGGTGCCTTGGGCTCTTCCTACGGAAGATTAGGTGGTACAGTCACAATCAAGGAGCAGGGTTTCTCACATTGAATGCCTTTTCAAATTAGGCAATCTAATTACCAAGAATCATTGGCTTTTCACATCATGTGCGTCATGAGGGACCACCAGAAATACTGTCTTGCCTCTTCCTTCTCTCTTCCATGCCTATCACCAGTCACAAGGTGACGTCCTTCACACTGAAAGTGTGACTCCACGCCAAGCCGTGTGTTGAACTCCTATGCAGTGGCAGCACATTCAGAATATACACAACAACAAAAAAAAAAGAAATGAATGGAATATTTCTTCTAGATGAGTACTTAAAGTTTGTGTAGTTAGCTATTTGCAGATGCGAATGTCAGGATCCTGTACAGTGTAGGTTTCCCTTTACAGTGTGACTCTGGCTCTCTTCACATCTGGTGTT